TATATAATTATTTTTAATTTGGGCCCGTATTTGTAATTATTTTCACTTTCTGGGCCCTTATTTGTAAATTCCCCTAATATATATTAGCAATTTGACGTTATAAATTTAAAAATCGCTTGAATTACTGTATGTTTATTATGCTAAAAAAATTCGGTATTTTTTTTTATTTTTTTACCTCCATTATCATTATTATTGTATACATTTTCGCTGCTTATCCCGTTCTTGGGAGACTGATTATTCTAAAAAATCATATAATTATTTCTTTGGAGAGGGAGGCGTAGTTAAAATATTATCCTTTAAAAATTCTCCCAAATTATCAAATTCCTCAAGACTGTCATCTGAACATTCATTAATTCTTTTAACTTCCTCTTCGATTTTTTTAACCTGATTCATGAATTCTTTTACCATGCACTAAAAAAATATATATATATGAGAACTCAAATAAAGTTGCAACTAAATTTTTACATTTGAAACTGCTAAACTTAACTTTAACGCAATACAAAAAGTCTATCATTTGGCCTGCGTGCCGAATTTCTGGCTTTGAAGGAATCTTGGCTGAACAAATATCGATTAGAACACCAAAGTTTTGACTCGTGAACCTTACATATTGGAGAAGATAAATTTCTCCTTCTACGCAATATATAAATATTTTTAGCAAATATTAGTTTCAAAGACAACATAAAAAATAAATCGCACTACCTGACGCCTGTATTGCACCCAGTTTAATACCATCAAATAAACTACACAGCTTCTTTGAAATTTTCTTTACTTTTTTTGAATAATGTTTAATGATGGTATTAAAATTATCATTCAGAGCTCGAATATTTTTTTTGTAATCATTCGCGCCACTAATTCCCGGAAGCTTCACTTCACCAAGTATAGGATAAATATATCCATATTTTTTCTCTCCTCTTTCTTCTATTATCAATTCTGAAGGAAATGGCGACATCGACTTTTTTACGATACTTTTTTTTCGATGTAATGACCCCTTTTTTATACTTTTCAGGTGCTTTCAAATCTTCTGTAACAACAGTAGTAGAATCACTCTTAGAATATCGACGATAAACTTTCGGATTTTGACCATTAACAATAATGGTATCCTTTATTTCGTCCGTTATTCTTGAACCGTCACTCGATTGTCCGTTTTCAGGAGAAAACTGATTAAAAATTTGAAGATCAAATATTTCTTTCTCCTCAAATAAAGATTCGAAAAAATGACTTTTACGTTCATATGAACAATAGGTTGGATGCTCAGGCCTAAAATGTATTTGAAATTGTGAAAACTATTGCCAAAAGTATGCTAGTAAAAGCTTTATTGCTAAATGCTTACCCATGTAAAGTGACATAGTTTAGCAACCCCCCAAGAAATTTGTTCAAAGGTGATATGATGAACAAATGAGTATAATCGCTCTCATTAAGGTTTTCATCTTTTTTCCACGCAGTTATCCTAAATTCAGATCAAGAGTTTAAGTAACATTCAACTGGATATATTTTTAAAATTATATTTACCAAGATTGTAAAATTTCATTAATTGATGATTTAACTCGGTTACTAATTTCACTCTCCAAAGTTAAATCAATGAACGGTAAATTAATTGAAATATCTAGATCTAAAAAATTTTCAATAGAAATATTTTGAGGGTCGAATTTTTCAAAAGAATGCTGTATCTCATAATTAATTTTAGAAATGTCTTGAAGTGTGATTGATTTGAATTGTTTTGCGGAGTTAATTCGGGAAAAATTCGTTCCAAGTACGCAGCGCCACAAATGAAAGTCATGAAAAAGGTCAATTGTCATACAATAAAAAGGATCAAAAATATCTCGTTGGATAAAATCTTTTTTAAAGCCATTTAAGGATGTTGAAGCGAAGAGAGGACAAATTTCCTAAAAATATAAAAATAAATAAATTGACAACCAGAATAAATATATATTTTTTTCTAACCGTTATTTCGATCCATTTTTCAAAGATCCTTTGTTTTTGATTTTCTTGTGTCCTCTAGATAATGATTTCTCGTTGTTCCTTTATCATATTATTTACGAGTTTCTCAAAATCGTCAAGCTGCTCCAAGTCCTCGCATGAAGTAAGTTCCCAACGAAGTCGGCCAGATGCAAAATTTAGGAGATTAGGAACTAAATGAATTAATTTTAATTAAGAATTGCCATAACTAAATTACGCAAAGTTATTAAATATAAAATTTACCATTGATATTACTGATTTCATCTTCTTCACGACGAGTAATGTCCGTCCAGAACTGTTGAACATTGCTATTTGTTATCTCATTAAAATAAAAAAAAATACATATTAGTTTAAGAAGTAATACCGGTATATAAAGTTCATTAACTAATATTATTTATTCATATTAATGAAATTTAATAACCTAATTCCATTTAACGTGGTCATGAGATGAATTTCAGGGTAACTGAATAGCCTGATTTAAATATGACAACATTATTCGAGTGCGTGAGAGTGAAAACCTGAAGCTTATCATAGTAACTCATTATGTGCAGTTACAGGTTTTCACTCTCACACACTCATTCCAAACTAAGCAGCCAAATAAATGCAGGGTAACTGAATAGCCTGATTCAATATGACAACAAAAGTTTTTCAAACTAAGTACCAAATAAATTCAGGGTAACTGAATAGCCTGATTCAATTGTGGCTATAACGAATGGAATTCAGAATAGGCTATCTCACCATCATACCATCAATCAAATCATGTGAATTATATTAATTACAAACATAAATTTAACTTGTACCTTTTCTTGTGCGAGATTTTTCAATTCCACGCTATCATAATTATCTGTAATGCCTTCATATATTCTTTTTATCTCGGGTGATTGTTCACCTATTATATAGATAAAAAAACATTACTCTTGATTAGAGAAAACTACAGTTGATACTCTAAATGCATAAAAATTTTTGACTTTTAATTATAAACGCAAAAATGGTTCTTATGACTTAATGGTTCTTATGACTTAAATGCATATATTGTCTATATGCATAAAAAAGTCTGACTGATAGTATGCAATTAGACAGTGTATAAAAAATATTTTATGGATTGTTGTTTTGTGACAAGATGAAAGAGTTTTGTTTTACAAGATTCGAGATATGTTAGAAAACAGTTGCACAAAAAATTTTATGTGGTTAAATGTAAACAAAGCGTGCAGATCAACACGTGATAAGGTCCATTTCTGTGATAGGATTGATTTGATCATTTAAACAAAAGTTGCAAAAAGTTGTGACCACATGATTTCTGTGATGATGTTCAGAGAAAATTTTGGATTGTCTGTTGTTTTATATTTTCGAATAGTTACGTTTATTTCCTTGAAACCTTAAAATCGATGGAATATCCGATTCCCACATGACATTGTAACCTGCAGAGATCACATCTTTTTGCAAAGCGTAATAATCACTGCCAACCACAGAAATCACCTTAGTCACCGCAGAATATCATTGATTTATTGTTTGGAATTTCCCGACGTCGGCTTGAATTATAAATTCTGTGTAATTACGAGCGTGTTCACCGGTAAATTACGGAATTATTGTTTTGGAAAATTTTATAATCGTATAGAAATTTACAATATGGTATCGCAGAATTGCTACCACAGAATTACAGCTGTTTTCAAAAAGATGTGGAAAACGATTTCCATATACCCATGTGGGGAATCGAAGAATGTGGAAATTCT